CCACAAATCATGAATTGGAGAATACTGGTAAGTGAATTCTGTATGATCCTTGAGATTACAATTTGGTTGTATCTTGCTAAAAAAAACGAGCAATTGTCTTCTTAAAAAATACATTTTTAATTGAGCCACATGTTAGTTTACATTTTTAATGTTAGCCACATGTTAGTTTACATGAAGATTTCCAGTTTCCTTTGATTTTCTGTCTTAAGCTGAAAAGATATATAGATTCTGGAGGCAAGCTGGTATAACAGTCGAGAATCGATGAGTTAGCTACTTCCTTAGTCGCTTTTTCAGACTTTTCATTTCCAATTATGCCATGAGAAAGGATCCAGATTACAGTGATACAGATTATTTGCAGCTTCGTTAATTAATAGCTGAAGGTGTTCCAGCCTATTATAAAAGACATTAAGGTTCCATTGGATAATTCGAAGAGGCATAATGAAATTTAAGAATATTCAATGAGATTTTTATATGGGATTGAATGGCAGGTTTTGGAAAGACGATGGAAAATCTTTGGAGAAAATAGAAAATAGAATATTAAGGAGATCATTAGGTTGGAGTTCAATTTTTTGATTAAATAATGTAATCTGTTTTTCATTCATTTCTTCATGGATCTTGTAGTAGGGAATGGACCGATATAAGTATATTAATTAAGTCATTCAAGTTAGCAGCATAGTTCTTGGCTAGTATATTAATTAAATTATCTCATAGTCGTATTAGTATTAATTAAGTCGTAATATTAATTAAGATATCTCAAAGTGGTCTTTCTTTGATGGAGAATATAGAGCTTGGTAGATCGTGTGTTGCATTGTCAATTCGAGATAGATTTTTGTTGGTTTCCCGTTTTTCTGATGATTATCGTAGGTGGTGCTTACGTTCTTCTATGTCAGTTGTTCCATTATTTGTATGATTGTTATTGGTTTTTTTTATTATTCATCAAGTTTGTATCTGTGCCGCATTGTTTCGCGATATGATCTTCTTCTTTGCACAGAAAACAGGTATTATACTATTTAAATAACATAAATAACCAAATAATACTATAAAGGAAAATATGTAGTTATCGTATTTTTATTGTAATGTAATATCTTATAAAAATTCAATATTCTGTCCTTTAGACAAAACGATATCGATTTATTACACGACAAATTATATTGGTTGCATTTATGAACAACATTCGCTCTCATTTGACCCATTTCTTCTTTTTATTTCTTGTATAATACAGTATAATATATATATAGTAATTAATCAAGTAACAACAAACCAATTATCAAATAATGTACTAAATATAATTTACCAATAAACAGCCGATAACATATTAATAAGCTAAATTAATAGAGTAATAAATTTAGAATCATGCAAATATTAGGTAAAATGTTAGACACGACAAAATTAGCTATTGAATAGTTTATTCAAACAGAAATCAATAGCGATCGAGCTATTCTCGTAAATCAAATAAACCAATGTAAATGTTAGCACGCGGTGCGCTGGTTTATTACGATACGTAAAACGATATGAAAACCGTGGTATTTATAACAAAATGAATTGTTATTATTTGCTGCGTGCTGATTATTAAGGGACTATCCTTTCAACTTGACGCTTAGACTGTCAAAGAAGTCTGCTGGGAAGTCGAACTATTTCGATTGGAGGCCAAACTATTTCTAAACTATAAGCGAACTGTTCTTTACCGGAGACAGACGACTTCTCAACTATTCTGAACCGATGAAAAATTAAGAAAAACTCCGTCATTTCTCTTTCATCTCTTCGGAGATTTTTGAGCCTCAAGATGAGGACAAATCCGCGCAGAACGGATTTAAATATTTTCGAGAACTTTTCGAAGAAAGTACGAAAGTACGCTTCGAACTTTCAGTTAATTCGACTCTCCAGTGAGTCAAGGCTTTAGTTCTTTTGCTGGTGTTTCTCTTCAAAAATTGCATTAGTCCTCAGACGTACCACAACCAGTATATTCGTTTCCATAAATAATTCACTACATATAAAAAGTAATCTGCACCACAGCAATTTCTAATAATAAGTTATAATAATACAAGTTCCAAGAGTCAAAAAAGTATTGACACACTTGTGATTCCAGTGCTTAATCTGCATTGAATGTTATTAGAAAGAAATATTTTACAAGTACTGAAATGTTATCGCGAATGATATCGCTTGTCATATCGTATTAACATTAGGAAAATATTTTATGTTCTATTTAAATACATGATAGCGCTGTAGAAAAAAGCCATCGTATATCAATATCTTTACGACTCTCGAATTTTTATATATTGTATCATTATTATATAGCTTATTATTGGAAATTGCATATTACTGTGCACATTATTTTTGTTTGTAATAAACTACTTATAAACAATTTTGTTAATGTATCATTTGTTTTTACTAAATATTGCAGGAAAAATACTTTTCGATTTATTGTAAATCAAGGCACTCGGTTAATAAATATCAGTCATTTGTATTAATTTCCTATAATAGTGATTCGAACGTTGCTAATGTCTTAGACAAATGAGTATTTTACTTCATACGAAGCTAGACGCATAAAATTTGATGTAAAATATTTTGCATAAAACTGATAATGAAAAGTAATAATGTAATAATGAGTTGAGGAATTAATCGAACATCGTACTCTGTTAAACATTCGCATTATTTTAGAGAGAGAAAAAAATACAAATTAATTATTAATTAACTGGTTTAATTGTATTAATTTAACGTTTATTACATGATAATTATATATGCATTAATCTTGAAACAGGTGTACGTTAAAATTGATTCACTTGTGAATCTATATTACTAACTGGAACAATTGCATGAATAACAATTTCAGTTTAATAAGCGCAATGCAACGTGAATATGTATCTGTGAAATATCGATAATAATATTTGCGTACAGAATAACATTTAATTGTTAAATGTACGATTAATATAACGCGCTATTATATAATAATTATTCGTTTCAAGAAGTATATAGCTCCATTACTACTCCATTTCATTCGTTACTATTTCGTTAGTCGCCATGGAATTGATAAAATTAATAAAATTAATTTTTATGATATTTAATTTTATTAATATTATAAATGATTTAATATTTAACTGATTTCTATTAATTATGTTTGTTTCTATAATGTTAATTTGCGGAATATTAAATGACACTTAATTATTAATTAAGATTGATCATTCGTGCAACTTAACAAGTTTTAACGTTTTAACAAGTAATTACAGCGTTATTATTATTTTGATTCATTATTTTACACGTTGATCGCCATAGAATTTATTAATAAGATTAATACAATCAATTTTTATTTGTATTATATATATTTTTTAAATGAATAAAATAAATTTTTATTGCATTTAATTTTAATTAATTTCGTTAATATTGAATTAACTTTTATCAAATTTGTTGTTTTATAATATCAACAATGATGATTTGCGGAGTATTATATGATATTTAATTACTAAATAGCAATTTAATATTAATATATTGATTATACAGTTATTAGTTTTATAAAGTTCATATGGTACTTACATTCCATCTATACTTGCATTTCTATTAAATATTACTTTATTTTATTTTATTTATTTTATTATTCTGTACGACTTTGTTGTATTATTTTACATGTTGATGTTTATGAAATTTGCTATATTTTATGTTGTTTATGTACTTATTCGATTATCTCTGCCAAGAGATGTATTTGCTTAACAAATATTTGATTGAAAAAAAAAAAAACAAAAGAGATAGAACTGTCTCTTGAAGTAGTAAAGCAAAATAATTTCAAATAACAAGTTTTGCTTCAATAAGTAGTGTATTCTTTATCTTCAATAAGTAGAATATTATTTACCTATGCTACCAACTTGTATTTGGTATTTTTTGTATACTGATTAATGGTCAGTATTACTATAGATCATTCTGAGAATTTCTATAGTATTGTTATATCCAGCTTTGAAATTAATTCATTTTACATTATTTCTTATGAGAAAATTAAAGCATTCCCTGTGAAACTGTGTTCGGATTCCAAGGGTTCCAAGGGAACACTATATTTTTACAATACAATTCATTTAGAATATTATTTCATTTTTCTGTGTAATACTTGTTCCAAGATTTATAATTTAAAATACTTCTATTTAATTCTTTCATATATTTATCTTCTGCTTGCAAAGCAAACAGAAAAGGCAGAATGAATTTTCTTAATTTCAGCTTAGTGTTTCAAATGGTGGAAACTGAAGAAGAATATACAGAACAAATGGAGATATTAGTAAGCTGTTTCTTGAGGCCTTTTAAGATGGCCGCTAGTTCAAAGAAACCCCCTTGTAGCCACGAGGATGTGAATAGCATATTTTTGAATAGCGAAACAGTATTATTCCTTCACCAGATCTTCCTAAAAGGTCTCATTTCTCGTATGGAGAACTGGCCTACTTTAGTTTTAGGTATGTCTTTTTATTTTTATTCAACAGTTCGATCATTCGATTCGTTTCATTCAGATAACAATTTGGTATTTCTCATTCTTTTAATATTTCGCTTTAGAATGTTGTTTATACGACACTCTGAATAAGATATATTCAAACACTTATGTAAATTTTTTATGAATATATCATGTAACATTATTTGTACTGACTTAATTATCACGATTATATTAGTAAATTTAGTTAATATCATTATATAAAACATTTAAAATTACTAGTAAACATGATTATATGTCTATATAATTGGGAATATAAATAAGAATAAATATATGTTTATAATAGAAACACTTTGAATCAATAATCTATTATATATTATATTTTTTATTATATTAGTAATCGTAATTTAATCTGAAAATATATTTTAGAATTATTTCAAATATACTTCTATATTCTAAAAATATAGTATGTCTTTTTATCACTTATTTCTTAAATTCTCTTTTGTCTCTCATACAATATTTTATAGAGATCCTGAAATGCATTGACGTACTTTTTTCGCCATTTTATTAAATTTTGAATATCAAATAAAAGCGAATATTACGACGAAAATACTACAATTGTCTAAGTATTAAAATTCAAAGTTCAATAAAATGACGAAAAATTTTTACCTGTACCTCAAAATTTATAAAGGGGAGTCTTTAATCTTTAAATCTATTATAGATTTAGTTATAAAAAATATTTCTCAATGTTTCTATATACTATGACATTTATAACATTTTCAATGTGATAATTTATAACATTTTCAAGAAAAAAGAAGTGTCTCCACTTTCCTACGCGATCCGTTTGTCTGATGTAGAAACATCTTAAAATAAAATGAATGGTGCATTTTGAGGAAAAAAGACTTCAAACTTTAAAATGAAATTATTTTATTTTAAAGCTGTACGATTTTATTTTACGAAAATGTAACAGTTTAAATACTTAATGTCCAAATATTTAAGTGTCTGAATGTGAGTAACTATACATACGTATAATTTTCACGAAATAGCTATGCTTCAGTGATTGTAAAATCGAATTATTATCGATGATATCTTGTTCATGGTGTCGTATAAATGATGTAAAGCGAGATATCTCGCAATAATTTTGCTAATTGACATGGCTGTCATAATTATACTGTTGAATGCAAGCCTCAGATTGCTTATGCTCTTTTCGAGTAGAATACATATTCTATACTAATACATAATTCAGATTGTGTTAAAGGATTAAATTAAGGAATAAATTATATTAAGAATTAAACGATAATTATACCTATTACGATAATACGATATTTTAATTTTTCAATATTTCATAAAATTATAGAATTTAAATCATGATATAATGACGAGGAAATATTAAATGAATTGAAATTTTGTTTTATAGACCTATTGGAAAACAGAATTTGATCATAAAACTGATTGAAAAAATTGTAAATAAAATGTTGCATTGGTGTTTAATAGATATTTAATGAAACTACTAAGAAGAAATACTTTAGTAATAAATTTCAGCAATTATTATTAATATTAATAAATTTCAGTAATTTCTTTAATATCATAAATAGCACACAATAACATTATGATATATTCATTCAAGAAATACTTCACTTCTAAATGCAATTGATTTTTGTCATTGAAATCCTTCTTGCAATCAACAATAAAATTGATATGGTTGTACAGACGTAGTAAACTATAAAATTGAAAAATCTATTATTAGAATATCATTACGATAATTAGACTGCGGATCTTTATACAAATTGAAATATACTCCTGGAAATATAATTAAAAACACAAATTTGATATTGATTTATGTATTAAATATTATAGAAATTGAATACTAATTAAATTAAATATTATTGTAATAAAATACATAAATTAATTATTGAATTAAATATTACATTTTGTGTATCTTTTCATATTATGTGCATTCTACGCAATATTGTACTTCTAAATTTTCAATAAATATATAAAAATTCGCAGTCTAATAATAGCCATAATAACGATACGTGCACAAAATACAAGAATTTTGACAAGTTTGATGATTTTAGGAGATTTGTTCGATATGTTACTGCCAATGTTATCAATTTATCAAGAATACGTCAGAAACCATCATTACAGTCTTCAAGTGTTAACTGAATGCAAGCAATCATCACCTGCATTCGCTGCAATGCTTATTAGATTGGAGAACAAGATCTCTTGCGGAGGACGTTCACTGGAGACCTTTTTAACGTATCCTATGCATCAGGTATGTTACATAACGTTCATTTTTTTAATGTAATTCATTTATTTTACTGATAACCTTTTGAATATGAAACAGTGGGTATGTAACATACGTAAATTCTTAAAGGTCAGAGCAAAATTTTATGAAAACAGTTATAGCAGATTTAAAATACTCTGATGGGCGGACAAAGGAATATAAATCTAATTTCAATCAAAACAAATATTTTTTTATGTATCATTCAATTTTACTTGTCCTTTTATTTATTAAGAAATATTCTTTTTTCTGAAAATGACAGCTCTCTAAAGTTTTTAAATCCGAGTATATTATACATTTTGGATAATTCTATTAATATTAAACACTATGAAGACAAGATCGCAAAATTCAAAGTAAAATTGAATGTTTTAAATATTCATCATAAGTGATATTCTATTGATAATAAATACCTTTTTTTAATAAAATGGATCATATGCATAATTTCTTATTTTCCAATTTTATACCTCATTAACATCTTATAATTTCTTTTTTCAACTTTACTTTAAGAACTTTTTAAAAACTTGTCTCTATTTACTAAAATGGGGGCGAATATTTTAGAATATTTTAGAAATCATAGTAAATTTAAATGAAGAAATGTTATTCTTCCTTATTTGACTTATTATGGGAAAACCCCATGTCATAGTTTTATATATATATATATATTTATTTATTTATTTATTTATTTATTTATTTATTTATATTTATTTATATATACACGAATATATCCATAGTTTGATTATACTTTTTATATTTTTATATATATTTTTTAATTCCTCTTTTTGTGCTGTTTATCGTCTTCTTACGTCACACTGAGGTTAATTAAATTTTTGTCGAAAAACAATCGATGTCGAAGTGTTTTTGGCAACAGAAAGCCACTTTTAAAGCTATTGTGCATTGTTCTGGACTAAAAAGAGTAAACAAAGCAGTATCGATATAGCTCTTTTAGTTGTTTACCGTCTCACGGTTCACATATTATAGGAAAATACGAAACACTTTTCACTAATATTTATAACATTGCTCGCAAAATTATTAATCAAACATTGTCATTACATATATATATATAATTGTAAAAAATAATAATATATCGTTCCACTAAAAAAAATTATGTTAATATTGAAATTCCTAAGGATAATAATATAAAATAAAATAACAATATGGATTAAGATAAGACAAAATTAAAATAAAATCTAAAATTTAAATTCAAAAATTAAAACGAAAAAAATTATTATTTTTATTAAATTATTATCTTTATGAAAAATCATTTCGTATCTACTTTTATATATTCAATCTACTTTTATACATTCAATCGCGATTTGTAAACAAAATATCTTTTCTTGTTTTTAATTTCATCACGGAATAATATAATAATAAATTTATTAATTACGCGTGAGACAAATAAAAAAAGGATGAGAAAATCATGGATAAGAGAGTAACAGTGAGAGAAGCCGAGGAATTCTGATGTTCATACACAGTACACGTCCCCAAAGATAATCAGATTAAAGTATTATGTACCATCTCTATGCACACAACTTCATAGTTGAACTATATAACGATAAGCAACTACTGTTAAAAATTAATATCCTGGCTATGTTTTTAACATCCCGTTCACTCTATGTTTTGCATTTAAATACTACTAACATTTTAAGAAACACAATGCGATACACGACATTCGTTAATTCTTTTATTACCGTAGATAAGATATCTCGCTACAATTATGTCGGTTGTACAATATTACCAACGAGGTATCTCGCTTCATAACGCCACTTCTACAATTCCATTTCATTTTGTATGACATTGTACATAGTTATGCAAGATATCTTGTCCATGATAGCATAACGGTTCATAAAATTTCCAAATGTTGCACTTTAAATTGTTTTTCCGTTTGTTATTTTGTCAGTGTATTCAAATATTAATTGTTGATATAACATTCAAAAGCTAACCGTTTTACATGGATATCAGATTTGTTCAAATCTATGCAGATAGATTGTCGTTATACGAAGAAACAAGACGGCTTTCACTTTCTTGATATTACCATTTAAAGTTCATAATATCAATTTTTCTTATTGAGCATTATTTATATTGGGTATATTTATTTTTTTGATACTGTAAATTTTATTTGCATGCATTCTTTCGTCATAAATACATAAATTTCACAATTCAATTAACGCATACGTGCAAATTTTTTGAAATTTTTTAACAAAACAAGAATAAATGTACCACATACTTCATACTCGTGTGTTAATATTGTCATTTGTAAAAAAAGACTAAATAAATTAATCGACTCACTGTGTATTATTGACAAAATCATAGAGGAAATTTTTTACAATATTTTTCACAGTTTTGCTTAAAACACACTTATTTTGATATTTTTATCAAAATTAATATTAATTTCTATTTATGTAACAACAAAATTGTTTATTCATTTATTTTGATTATTATTTAATTTATAATGATTTACGTATATAATATTTTAGTACGTATTAAACGTCGTGTAATGACGTTTTTATAAAAATGCATTGATGCAATTACAAAATGCAATTACATTTGTTTTTAGATGATTTCTTTTTTCATTCTACGAATTTTTTTCATTCCTGTCATTCTGAATAAAAAAGTTTAAAACGCAATATTAAAAAGATTAATAATATTTGTAAATGGGGATACCTAAATAGCCACATTATTTTTGGTCTTATAGGGAAAATGTTCAAAACAAAGAGCCGTATCTAGTGATAGTAAATTCACATTGTACACTATTTCTTGTCGATTATATTTTTTCATTGAGAACATACATGTAAGAGATATTTCAAGACTATAGTAAATTAACTTGCATTATAAGTTTCTAAAAGTAACTCGATATAAACTTGAAAAAATTTTCAAACTGTTTTCGCCATCTTATTTATTTCTCCCGTCATTTCTAAAGTTATTGCATTATTCTCTTTCTTATTTTCAATGAATTACTATTTTATTATTTTATTCAAGCACTATACATTTTTATTGTAAATTCTGTTGATTAATCTAGAATTGATGTGAAACAAACAACAGAGGAAAAAATTTTTCACGTATATTTTTCCAGATTCCAAGATATATTATTACACTGCACGAATTATTGGCGCATACTCCCCACGATCACGTTGAACGGAAAAGTTTAGAAAACGCGAGGCAACAATTGGAACATTTATCGAGACAAATGCACGACGAGGTATTGATTGTGTACTTAATTATAATAGTTGATTAATCGTTCAAAAGCAACATGTTCCATCCGTTGATTCTAACAATTAATTACTGTTCGTTTCATTTCATTAATCTTCCAATAATTAATTATTGATAAGATATTTCTGTGTCACATTCTAGCTGTGCATTTGCATTATTTCCAGGTCAGTGAAACAGAAAACTTACGAAAAAATTTGGCCGTAGAACGAATGATCGTGGAAGGCTGTGATATTTTACTCGATGTCAATCAAGTATTTGTAAGACAGGGTAAGCGATATTGTTCAATGTTTATTTAAATGTATATTTAATTTCTAAAACAGTGAATTGCTGTCAGACGATTGAAAGAAGTTTTAAATTGCAAACTAGTTACTGTTAATTATGTCGATTAGCAATTTCCATGTACTTACAAATTATTATATCATATTTAACACTCTTAGACCTGCAGACATAGTATCTCATCATGTAATATCATTCATGTGATACTCTAGACGATGATTATATTGTATACTTATGTATGTATTCATTATCCGTATACAAATGTGGACGAACATGGATAAACGAAACTAAATTCCTTAAAGTAAATAAAAGTGATTGCATTATACGTATATTACTTGACCGATGTTTTTTTTGTATTCATTTGTAGTATACGTGAGTCATTCAAATTAATTTGATTTTATTAATTTGATTCAAAGAACTGAAATTACGAAATCTTTTACGGTTAATAAACGTTCAATTTTACCGGTAATTCCAGTAATTTCGAAAATTTAACTATTTATTAACGCTATAATGACTGGTTATTTTTGGGAACAATTTTTACGAAAGTCGACGAAAAATTATGTATGAAGGCAATATCAATGATCATGAATTTAATAAGGCAATATCAATGATCATGAAAAATAAGAAGATAGAATTACTAAAAATATAGATAAATAAATGATACATATATAAATGATATATATTGCTGAAAATCACATGATGCCATAGGAGAGTCACTGATTGTTATTGCATTCAATTTCTTTAAGATGTAGAATAATATTTCAGAGTTCATTCTCGAATCTGACTGATTTTACAAATTAATGATTTTTTAAAACAAAAAATTAATTTTTCAAAGCGTTGTGAGATATCTCGTCTAAAGCATATGTCGCATTAAAAATATACATCTAGTTCGAAACGTATTTCATAAATCACGACGAAATGCTTGGCTCACAAATTCGATAGGTTTAATGAAAATATAAAAATTTAAGTAAATTATAATTATTATTATATATGGAGAATTCAAAATTCTAGTTGTAAACATGTAAATTATTTTTTATAAAATTTTTTTTCATCATACGAAAGTCCTTTTCTTATTAAAACCATCAATCAATGGAATAGTTTAAACATAATAAATGTATTATAATGACTAAACTATATTGTCGACTTTTAACAAATTTTAACAAAAAAAATATTTGTCTAATAGAATTTTTAACGAAAAATAACTTACACTGATTAATTAATTTTTATGCACTTGTGAAAAATTTGAAGATATAAAAATATAGACTATATGGAAAGATAATAGATAAGACAATTTTTTCCTGCTTTTTTTCCTAATTATCTCCATAAAATTGTTTAATTATTTAATAAAAATTACGATAAAAATTCGCAGTTTACTAATTAGCTTCTGATTAGCTTCTGATTAGCTTCGCCGTATTTTTCGGTTATACAAGTTGTTTTACCAAGTAAAAATTTACAGTTTCCTTCATCAACAATATCGATAACCCTCCATCGATTATTCTATCTAGACTATTTTCATAGTTTCACTTCTCTTTTATTTCGAGTCGAGAAAAATCGATGAAAAATTTTTCGCTGCAGTCGATAAAGTCTGAGTTGAATTTGCTATACGTAGATATTCCCTCGAAGCATTCACACGTCCATAACAAGTGAAAATTCGTGATGTAGCGCGTCTCTTTGTGTTCTAGAATCAATAGAATTGTGTACATATATACATAATACGCCGAAACTGCCGGGTTATGTACAACTATTATCAGGGCTATCATAGAAATGGTTATAAAATCTCTTAGAAATATTTCTAAAATATTTACAGAATCAATTTTCTCTAAAAATATTTTTCAAACAATATACCTGACAGAGCATAAGTATGTCTAGATATTGTTGCTCAAAAATCTTTGGACACCTCTGATTTTTAACATTTAATTTGTCTTAGATAATAAATTTTTTAATATTATTATTCAATTCAGTATTAATACCTTGCAGATTCTTTATTGTATAATGATGTGCAATAATTTATAATGATATACAATAATTCTTTTATAATAAAATTAGAAATTATTTGTAGAAACGAATCAATATAAAAAATTATTTCATTTGATAATCAAGTAGTGAAATAATTTCAAGAAAAATCATTTGTTCATAATCTGAAAAAATAACAATTATACAATGTTTTTCGAAAGTACTTGAACTTTCTCGAACTTATGTAATATATATATATTGTTGTTCTGTATTCGATTACATGTGAGCAGAATCATGTACATCGTATTAATTAAAATAATATGTATAATTAGATAATTATTATTTAATAATTATTTAAGTTTTTTTTAATTTTTTTAACAACATTGAATTTTTGTAGAATTAACCCTCTTAATAGCCAAGAGCAAAAATATCATTTTTATCACAAGTACATTGAGTCGATGGTTTTTATTTTTATAAAATACATTTTTATGACAGAAAATGTTTCAATTGAAAAATTTAAATAATAATTTAAAAAACAATTTAAATAACTATATATATATATATATATATGTATATTTCATTGAGATTTTTATATGTAGTTTTAGATTGTACATTACAAAATAATAACTTGTAACTTATATTTGATTTTACTGTATTTGAAATTATTACAAAAATTGTAAAAATAATTTGTATGATGTATTGTACAATTATAATAAACCAGAGAGGATTAAAATTTAGAAAATTAGAATTATTAGTATGTTTGAAAATATGGTACGTTTCTGTATAATATGTAAAAAAAATTTGATAGCAGTAATTTGTGATCTAAGTTAAAATTTCATAGAACTGGTACGATTGAAAATGTTATAATATATATAAAATTATATAGATATATATATATTCTATAAATTATATATAATATATAGAAAATATATAATTTTAGATGGTACATAGAAAAATGGTAACAATTATAATTTGTAATCTAAGAGTGTTATAATCTGATGAAATAATTGTACAAATTGGAAAAATTGTTATAAAAGTGACTTTGAAAAGAGATTTGTCCTACATAAACTCTTTAATTGACGAGTGGCGTAAGTCCAAAATGAGTCTAATATTATAAATATTTTTCGCACGCGGTTTAGGCGGAACGAAGTGTATAATAAATGATGGCACTTGATTATTCGCTACCGTCAATTTAGTATTAAAAGAAATATGATTTTTCTTTTAAATTCTGTGTGTTACCATAATTATCATTCTTTCACTTTATTTCTTTACATAAACCCAGATATTTAGTCCTGAATCATTTCTTATCAAGTATTACTTGACTTAATTCACTTATTGACTAAGGGATTCACATATCTTTGAAATAGTGTAACTTTATTTTAAAACTGAATATGACAAAAATAATTAAGTACTGTACCCTGTATATGAATTATGAAAATCATCCGAATCTTTAAAAACAAGCACCATTGCAAATCCACAAAATTCCTATATATAAAAAAATTACAAAAAAGAAATTGATCATTTTGATCAATCGTGAATTAATTGTCATCATTAACGTGTCATTATTCTTTTCCAGGTACTCTCATTCAAATATTAGACAAGCCAAGAGGAGCACGTAGTAGATTTAGCGCGACATTCGGTGGGAAAAGTAGTGATAAGGAAGCAGTCAGACAGTGCTTCCTCTTTTCCAAACACTTGTTATTAACGACACGTCAATCGGGCGACGACGGTCGTCTGAATCTTATTCCACAAGTCGGGAAAATACCACTTTCCGATGCAGTGTTAGTGGAAGACCCTAACGAACAGAGCATTGCGGATGATGACGGTATAATAACATTATTATCTATTGACTACAACTTTTTAGAGCTTTATCTTGCAATTTCATGCTACTGCGGTCGTTTATGTTTTGCACTTGGTGTTATGGTGTTATCATTAATATAATTAAATACAAATTTTTGAGGAATTCTAGCAAGTGATAAAAAGTATTATATTATTTTGTTTCAAAACTTTCGAGAAAGTTATTGAAATTTTTAATCAATTAGAATACTTTTAGCTTCTAGTGTATTTTCTATAAAATATTCTATTTTGTAGCCTTATTTTTGTAGTCCATTTAGCCATATATGATGAGTGTACTGTTCTATTTTCAGTCTATTAGCTGTGTATAAAGAAATGATTTTTGTTTTATGACAAATATTTTTGTCATAAAAGAACATTATCCATTTTGCTGTTTGAATTAAATAATTAAGTAATAAAACAGAATATCTCGAATATTTTAAAACGCACGATTAGAAATTTCCAATAAAAAGGAAATAAAGAAATTCACAATGGATCAGTGATACTGCACAGTATAAAACTATGATCTTTGAAAGCTGCGAAATTTATTTTGAAATAGAGTATTTAAAATATTCATTTAATTGCTCAATTATATAATAGTTCGATAATTTATTAATTACTTTTATTATTACAACAAAAATAGGAATAGATTAAATTTCTTTTTTTTTCGTATAATTGATTTTCTCTGTTTTTCTTTTTAATAACAGATTTATCAATAAAATTATTGATTTTACAGAAAAATCAACTGCCATTAAATTTATTTATATTCATTTACTACTACTAAAAGTAAAAACTATTCGTAAATTTTAAAATTGCAGTATGTAGTTATAGTTCTTTGAAATTTATTTTAAAATACAATATTTAATTTCTTGTTTCATACCTTTTTAATAAATTATGAATATTTAAGTTTCGTTGATAATACCAATGAATTGTGAATTTCTCAAAAAAACTACTGTATTCAATTTTACAATTTAATTTAATGCAATTTGCTCTGTGTTCGACGAGTATACTCATCACTGTTTCATTCTTGCCACAAAGATTAACTAATATTAATTAATATTCCATTTCTATCGCATTATGTAATTCATCGTACAGTACAATTTTTTATTTTATTTTTACAAGTAAACCAGCTGCAATCTGCCATTTCTAATGTTATCATCGCATTTATTTGCAACATTTCAAATCCTCTTCAACTTTGAGACTGCGCCGACATTCCAAGCAGTGGATGATCTGCCTAATAACGCATAATTCATAATAACTCGATTTATAATCGATTTATAACATAATTCGATAGAAAGTCAAGTTAAATTAAATTAAAAAAAAAA